TACCATCTCTCATGGCTTCCCTTTGCTAGGAAAGGGAATTCCCTGACCCCTTGTGCTTCCTGGGTGAGGTGATGCCCTGCCCTGCTCCATGGACTGCACCCACTATCTGACAAGCCCAGTGAGATGAACCCGGTACCTCAGTTGGAAATGCAGAAATCACCTGTCTTCAGTGTTGCTCATGCTTGGAGCTGCAGACTGGAGCTGTTCCTATTTGGCCATCTTAGAATCTCTCTAGATCATGTATTTTTATGCATTCTGGCAATCTGTGTCTTTTGATTAGAGAGTTTACTCCATTTACATTTAAAGTAATTACTGATAAGGAGGAATTTAATTCGTTCATTTTGTTACATGTTTTTTGTATGCCGTGCATCTTATTTACCTTTTGTTTCCTGCATTATTGTCTTCTTTTGTGTTTAGTTCATTTTTGTAGTGAAATATTTAAATTCCTTTCTCATTTTTTTTGTGTACATTCTACAGCTATTTTCTTTAAGGTTGCCATGGGAATTACATTTTATATTTAAAGTTATAACACTCTAGGCTGGGCACAGTGACTCACACCTGTAATCCCAGCACTTTGGGAGGCTGAGGCGGGTGGATTGTAAGGTCAGGAGATCGAGACCATCCTGGCTAACATGGTGAAACCCCGTCTCTACTAAAAATACAAAAACAAAATTAGCCAGGTGTCGTGGTGGGCATCTGTAGATCCAGTTAATCGGGAGGCTGAGGTGAGAGAATAGTATGAACCTGGGAGGCGGAGCTTGCAGTGAGCCGAGATCACGCCACTGCACTCCAGCCTGGGCAACAAAGCAAGACTCCATCTCGAAAAACAAACAAACAAACAAACAAAATAAAACCAAAAGTTATAACACTCTGAATTTATACCATCTTAACTTGAGTAACATACAAAATCTTTGCTCCTTTATAGCTCTGCCCTCACCTCTTTTGATTGTTAATGTCACAAGATTACGTTATTAAACGTTGTGTGTCCAAAAATGTAAATGAATACTTTCTTTAAATGCATTAGTCTCTCAAATTATTTGAAAATAAAATGTGGAGTTACAAAGCAAAGTTACAATAATGCTAACTTTTAGATTAATATGTTTTTAAATGTATTAATCTCTTAAATTGTATAGAAAACAAAAAGTGGAGTTACAAACCATTAGCTGATGAATTTGTAAAACCACTGGCTTTTATAAGTGCCTCTGTATTTACCTTTATTAATATCTTCATTTCTTCATGTGGTTATGAGTTACAGCCACAGGTCTAGTGTAATGAGCTAACTCAGCTTTTGCTTATCTGGAAATGTCTTAATTTCTCCCTCACTTTTAAAGGACGGTTTTGCCAAATATAGGATTCTTGGACAACAGTTTTGCTTTTTTTACTTTTAGCATTTTGAATATATTGAACCACTGCCTTCTGGCCTTAAAGTTTTTGATGAAAAATCTGCTGATGATCTCATTGAGTATCTCTTGCGTGTGATGAATTGCTTTTCTCTTTCTGATTTCAAGATTCTTTCTTTGTCTTTCAAAGTTTGATTATAGTGTGTTTTTGTATGAGTCTCTGTCAGTTCATTTTTCTTGGAGTTTGTTAAGCTTCTTGGATGTTTATATTTACATCTTTCCTCAAATTTGTAAAGTTTTCCACCATTATTTCTTTAAATATACTCTCTGCTCATTTCTCTTTCTCTCTCTTTTCCTTTTGGAATTCTCACATTGTATTTGTTGGTCTGCTTGATAGTGTCCTGTAAGTCCCTTAGGCTCTATTGACTTTTCTTCAGTTTTTTTTTTCCTTCTGTTCTTCAGACTTAATAATTTTAATTTTATTTTCTCAGATTCACTAGTTCTTTCTTCTGTCTGCTCAAATCTGCTTTTGAATCCCTCCAGTGAATTTTTCATTTCAATTATTGTTCTTCTTAACTCCAGAATTTCTTTTTCTCTCCTTAGGTTTTCTGTATCTTTATTTATATTTCCATTTTGTTCATGCATAATTTTCTTTTCTCCACATCTCCCTTTAGTTCTATGAGCATCTTTAAGCTATTTTTAAGGTATTTGTCTACTGTATCTGCCATGTGTTTTTTTTCAGGACATGTGGTTTATTTTTATTCTTTAAATGGACCATACTTTCCTGTTCTTTGTATGCCTTCTGATTTTTTTTGAAAACTGGACTTTTGAATCTAGTAACGTGGTAACTCTGGTAATTAGATTCCCCTCATTTCCCAGAATTTAATGTTTTTTTGTTATTGTTTTTGTTGATTGTTATTATTTTTTATTGTTGTAGGCTATCTCTGTTCCAAGGATTAACCTGAAATATAAATTTAAGGTCTTCTCAGGTATTTCCTGAGCTTTTTCCTGGACATGCACAATCACTTTCTAATTTCTCCCATATATGCAGTTGTTTTTGAATGTCTGGCTCCCAAAAGAGGAAAAAGAGAAAAATGAAGGGGAGAAAAAAGAGCACTGGCCCTTTAAGTCCCTTAGAAGTCACTTCAGCTAGTAGGGAGGTGCTTGCCACAGTGGGGCTAGGTACAACAACAATGGCTGCCCACCTCTGTCTGTACCTCTGTGAGCAGAAGCAGCAATCAATGATTGATCAGAGCACAGATCTCTACTATTTGGAAGACAGGGTCCTTTTTGCCAACCCTGGCTCTCACAAGCTATGTACAGGTTGTTCCAGAAACATATGCACATTTACCAGTTACAGGGCTGGGACTGGGAATGGGTAGATGGTACTGTGTTCAGAGTACTGAAATTAACTACAATTTATTGTTCAAGCCTTCCCCTGGAAGTTGCAAGCCTTCAGTATATTCTAATGTTCCAAAATTGTTACATCACACTGATTTGCCAGCTCAATTGTTATCTAAGTAGAGAGACAGGTTCCTTGTGCTTCCCACTCTGTCATCCTTCTGGAATCCTCTTTCCACAGTTGTTTCAATAGAGTGATGCTCATCTTTTTTCCTTACATTACAGTCCACAGGCAAGAAACTGAAATTCTGTGCCCAGATGCAAATCCTTAGCAGAATCAACCTGTGCCATCATTGTCCCCTTGATAGGTGGAGCCATCAAGCACATTGCCTGCCACTATCAGGAAACCTGCACAGTTCTGGATCAGTGATTGCTAATCACCTCTCTGTAGTCCACACAAGCCATTAAGAGTAGAGCATGGAATAAAAGTACTTTCTTTCAAATATGGAACTTGGCATTTTGATGAATCAGAAAGCAGAGGAGCCTCTAGAAAATGCTGGCGAATTTCTTTGGGAGCGATGCTAGTATTTTTCCGGGACATGTATGATAGTAATGAACATAGGGATTGGTATTCTATCATCATCCTTGCCAGCAGCATGGAAAGTGTTATCTCTGGGAAGCATAACTTTCAATTCTTGTGTCTTAGTCATCTGGGCTGCTATAAACTGGGTAGCTTGACAGAAATTTATCTCTTATTTTTCTGGAGGTGGATCAAGTTATCTGTAGATTCAGTGTCTGGTGAAGGCCTATTTCCAGGGTTATTAATGGTGCCTTCTCACTGTGTTTTCCCATGGTGAAAAGGGCAAACAAGCTCCCTTTGGCTTGTTGATAAGCCATTTATGAGGGCTAATCACTTCCCAAAAGGCCTCATCTCCCAATACCATCACCCTGTGGTTAGGATTTCAACCTATGAATTTGGGGTGGGAAGACATAAACATCAAGGCCGTGTCATCTTGTCTCAATTTTCTATCCTAATCCCTTCACTCATATGGGCAATTAAAGTCCCAGAAAACTGAGGTCCTCAGGAAATTTTGTTTCAGTGTCATTCCCATCTGGTAGTTCTCAGGTATTGAGCGAAACCTAGGGATGTGAATCTTTGGGTGTACACATATTCTAGGAACTATTGAAAATTGCATCCTGAATTGGCCAAGTTAAATAGACTTAAGCTGGGCTACAAAATCCAAATAGGCCTAGATGAGTGGAGATGATCAAGTTATGAAGGCAGACAGGGTAGAGGATGAAGAAAGCCAATACATAGGAAGGGTAGAAGCAGGTGGAAAAAAGAAATCTCGAGGAAACTTTAGAGCCAGAATCCAAATGTTCATGGAAGCATTTTATTTGGTGCCCATGACCACTGATACAAAAAAGCCAAAGCAAAATGAATGTGCAACTCCAGTTTCAATAATATCAGGCCTTTTCAATGCTACAGCCTTATTATCTTGCAAATTTATCCCCCTCTCCCGACCTCATGCAGTTGGTTCCTAAGTCTGATTCTACCTCTTTAATACTTAATCTATTTCTCTGATGACCAGAGTAATCTAAAACAAAAATTTGATAGTTACTTTTTTACTTAAGTGCTTCAATGCCTCCCATTTCCTAAAGGCTTAAATATTAATATCTAAGGTAGTATGTAAGACTACTTATGATTTTTGCCCCCTGCTTATTTTTTCTTACTCATGTAACACCATTTCCCCTTCCTCTCTAGCCGCAGTGATGTACTGTTAGTTCCTAGAATATGCCATTCTTATACATTCCTTTGTGACTCAGTTCCTCTGGATGTTGTCTGGAATATTCTATTCTTGTCTGTCTGCAAACTTCTCCTGGTCCTCTAAGACTTTCTGTCTCTCTAAAGGCTTTATTGACCTACCAAGACAGAGTTGAACACCCCTTCCTCAGGACTTCTTTTATATCTGGCACCCAGCTCTATTTTAGCACTCACTGAATTATAATGATTTGAAAGTCTGAGTGTTTCTAGAGAGCACATACAATGTCTAATTTACTTCTATGCCTTGAGAACCTGGGACAGCTCTTGATACATAGTAGGATCTCAGATAGGCTTTGAATAAACAATATATTTTTGTTTAAAAGCAAAAGGAACTTGTCAACAAGTTCATGTTGTTGATAATCTCTTAGATTCAATATTTGATGTCTGAAGTATATGATGTTAATTCCTTCCTTGATTTAACATGTGTTTATTGAAGATCTATCCTAAGCCAGAAATGGACAATAATCAACAAAAATAAATATGTACTTTACTACTTTTACAGAGTTGAGAATTTATTGGGGAAACTTACTACTATTTTAGAAATTATTAAAGAAAATATAACATCTCTCAGGTTTGGCCCATGATAATAGTCTGAGATTGTCCCTAACACAAGCTTTCCTGAAATATGTCAAAGCCTTTGCCTGTTGGACTACTTTCATTTCTTGTATGCTGCAGGCTCGCCTCTTGTTCTTCAGCATACAAAGCCATTTTGGTTGATAAACACAACAAATTAAAAATCAAACATGCAAAATAGTAAAACATCTTGTTTTAATCCAAGCAAAATTTTGTCTTCAGAAATGTAGAGGGTTGGGATACATGAGTAACTTTACAGTTTACCAAATGCTTTTATATTTATAGTGGTATTTGGTTTTGCTTATAGGAAAACCAAAGGAATGTTGGGGGAGCATTCAAGAGTCAACAAAACAGAATCATCTTCTTAGGCTGGAGGGACTACTATTTTAGGCAGTGAGAGGTTACTGAAATGTACCCAAGCAAATAAGAGTCCTAGTCTCTGCCCACAGCCAATAAGACACTAACTTCTATCGCAGGCAGTGTGACTAGAGGAATGAAAGAGGCTCCCAGATCTTGGCATTTTGGAAATGGAAAAGGAAAACAATAAAAATGTATATTCCTGTGAAAATCAGATATCAGAAAATTGAAACAAACACAGTCCAGGTTCCTACTGTCTTGAGCTCTCCAGAGGGTTATATTCTGCTTCCTTCTCATTTAGGGTTACCTAAAAAGAAGGGCAGAGTTAAGAGCAAAAATGTATAGTTAGGTCCATTCAAAGACATAACAGCCAGCTCACAGGGGACAGACATTCTTTTTAAAATGTTCCTTGAGACAGGGGTGTATCTTTCTTGAATTTGGCTATACCTGTTTTCCTCCAGCCCCTCAGCTGGAGGTGGTAACTAACTAGGAATTACTGCCAGAGAAGCAATTTCTTCCTTTTAAGTGAAGTGCTGCTATGGCAAAGACATGCTGCTTCAAGGGTTAAACTTTAAAACACTCATTTTGATATATAAAGAAATTGTAAATAAAGCACAAGGCAAAGTTGCAATTTCAGTTTGTGTGCAAAGTAGTAACAATTTCCTAAACTGATGCTGTTGTTTTGCTTAGTCCAGAGCTTTGAAAACAAACAAGTTTTACAAAACCTGTATTAATAATGTAACATTAAGTGCACTATTACTATTTTACTCTCTTTTTCTGGGTCTCAGAGAAGATGAAGTTTTCTTGATTATCTTTTTAAATAAAAGTTGTAGGCCAGGTGGAGCTTTCAAGGTGACTTTGTCTGAGACTGAGGGAAGGAAGGAAATGAGGAAGGGAAAAAAACAAAAAACAAAAAACTACAGATTACTTCATACCTCTTTCAAGCTTAAACAGAAATCTACTTTGGCTTTCTAATAGACTAGTTTTCCAAAAGAGAGCTTGGGCTTTGGCTAAGACCCCTCTGGAGTCACTGACTTGTCCATTAGATACAGTCTCAGGAAAGCTAATATAATGACACATTTCGTCTATAAACTTAAGTGCAAAATAACCAGGTACAAAACTTTGGGTTCTCTATCTTAAGAGCAGCAAATATCTATGTTCTTTTCTCAAAACTGGATCCTGTCAATTTCCGGAATTAACCACTTTACCATTGTGGTTTACTTGCTTGTTTTTGTTGGGCAGAGTTGCAAATGTAATGAGGGAAGGGGGTTCTTGCCCTGGTTTAGTACCAGGCAAGGTTACCAAGGGGGCTCATTCTGGTTCCAGAAAGCAGAGCTGGTCATCCTCATTCTCCAGAACTGGGAGTGGATCATTCCCACTCCCCGGAATCTGGAGTGGGTCTTCCCCACTCCCCAAAACTGAGAGCGGATCATCTCCACCCTCTGCAGAAGAAAGACAGTCAGGGCCAAGCTCTTTGCCCCCTGCCACTTTGGACTTGATTGTCCCCATCAGACCTTCAAAAGATCTGAATGTGGCCGACTTCTTTATGCCTCCAAGCTTCCTGCAGAGGGCAGTGCCCATGGTGGACAGAGCAGCTGACACCTTCTGTTCCACATAGGTGTTGGAGACCTGAACATCAAGCCAGCTCTTGGATAGATTCTGTCTCAGCCCTACCAAAGCTGTGAAGCCTAACTTCCTCTTGAGCTTCCCACAGCGTCTATCTTTGGCTGCTAGTACCTGGCGTAGGGTTACAATTTCAGCCTCCAATTTAGTGAGTTTGGCTTTGAGCTCTCTTTGCTCAGGCTCTGTCAGATCCTCCAGTTCAGAAGTCGAGTGGGATTCATATGTGCCCACAGAGGTCTCTGTCCTGGCATGTGGCATGAACTGGGAAAGAAGATCTTCATTAAGAGAGTCTAGGTTCAATTCTTGGTAGAAAGAGTCGAATTCTTGGGCTGCAGAGAAATAATCTTGGCCAGCAGAGTCGAAATCTAGACCTGCAGGCTCAGACTTTTGGTGGGTGGAGTCAGATTTCAGGCGGGAGAGATCCATGACCCAGCTGGTACAATGGACCCCTTGGCAGTTGAGTTAATGGCCTGGCCTGTGAAGTAGACGCGCTAGCTCGTGGTGTTCACTTCCGGGTGGTGGGGGTGGGTAGCCGGTCAGGTCAGGGTTGCGGAGGTGGGACTTCCCGTCCAAAGTGCGAGGCTGCAGAATCTGTGCTCAGCTGAGGCGCAGCCCACACTGGCGGCATCTTGGCATCGCAAGGACCTCATGAGGTAGGCAGTGCAGAGATTATTGTCAAAAGGAGAGAAATTTCTCCTGACGCGGTAAGTGACAAGCCCTGGCCTTCAAGCCAAAGCGTCAGGCAACTCTTTTCCACACCAGCAGTTTTCCAGCACTTGAAAATCATTTAAACATCATTGTGCTAGTATGAGTTTTCAATTTTGTAGTTGCATTTTCTTTATTCCCCCCTGCCTCCACTCACATTTCTGGAAGCATGTCTGCCCACATTCAAGGTTACCAGTTGTGGGAGGTAGTCTGCACAGTAAAGTAAAACTAGTTAAATAGGATCTATCAGAGTGTGGATCCACTCTTCCCCTCCAACCTCCCACCCTAACCTCCCCCCAACCCTAATTTTGCCCAGAGTAAACTTATGCAATGGAAAAATCAGGACATTAATCCAGTGAGGTGTTGTGGTCTGGCTTCACTTAACTCATTCTATGGCTGCCTATTCTCAGAGAAATATTCTTGAGCAAGTCTTAGATTCTAGTGATTTTGTTGGATATTCTGGTAGTTCTTGCGAGCATGATCTTGTGGAGCATAATTTGATCCTCAGCAAATTTCACCAGTTTGCCCTACTCATGCCTATGTGGCTACAATGAAGCATCTAGCTATGCATTCAAACCAACTTCAGCCCTCCTTTGAGTTTATGTTCTATAACCCTTTCACATAATTTAGTAGTGTTTATTATTGTCTTGTCCTGAATGGTGTGTTTCCCTAAGTTAAAAAATGAGAATTGTTCTTGTTGTAAACGTGAAGGCTGATGGGGGATTTGGCTGTGTGTTTAAAGGCGTGAAAAGGGCAGCAAGGGCTCCCTAAAAACCAATTTGTTCTAAAGGCTAGGCTTTTCCTCCATTGCCTGTAGAAACACTGGTGGCTTCAGGAACACTCCCAGACTCTGAATCAGAACTCCTCTTTCAAACCTGAGACTAAAGGGTAAAGAAATCCCTGAATTATGCTACATAATATGGAACATACATTCTCTATTCAAAGTTGAGACTCCAAGTCACCAAATCTGAACTTGCACTTGATTTTACTTCTCTGCATTATTTCAGCCACCAACCTTGATGCCTATTTTCTTTATATGCTTCCTCATCCTTCAATGTAAAATATGAAATATTTTATTAAGCCTTGATTCATTTTGATAGAGTAATGGTTTTTTTCTCATAGCAAAACTGAACTTTTCAGATACTTGGTTTCCAGATCCCACATCAAGACATACCCTCTCATTCAAATAGGAAAAGAAGAAGTGGAATTATTTCATTTTGCAGATGATATGATTCCATATCTAGAAAACCCCAAAGGCTCTACCAAAAGGCTCCTGAAACTGATAAATGACTTCAGTAAAGTTTCAGGATATAAAATCAGTAGCATTTCTATATATCAATAATGTTCAAGCTGAGAACCAAATAAAGAATGCAATCTCATTTACAATAGCCACAAAAAAATTAAATACCTCAGACTACATCTAACCAATGAGATGAAAGATCTCTACAAGGAGACCTACAAAACACTGCCAAAAGAAATCATAGATGATACAAACTAATGGAAAACATTACATGCTCATGGATTAGAAGAATCAAAATTGTTAAAATTGCCATACTGTGCAAAGCAATCTGTGGATTCAGTGCCATTCCTTTCAAATTATCAATGTTATTTTTCATGGAACTAGAAAAAAAACTATTCTAAAATTCATATGGAACCAAAAAAGAGCCTAAACAGCCAAAGCAACCCTAAGCAAAAAGAACAAAGCTGGAAGCATGCTGCAGTAATCAAAACAGCGTGGTACTGGTACAAATAGATCAATGGAGCAGACACATAGACCAGTGGAACAGAGACTCAGAATAGAGACTCAGAAATAAAGCCACACACCTATAACCATCTGATATTTGACAAAGTCAACAAAAATAAGCAGTGGGGAAAGGATTCCTGATTCAATAAATCATGCTGAGATAGGTGGCTAGCCATATAAAGAATAAAACTGGACTTCTATCTTTCACCATATACAAAAGCTAACTCAAGATGGATTAAAGATTTAAATGTAAACCTCACACTATAAGAATCCTAGAAGAAAACCTGGGAAACACCATTCTGGACATCAGTCTTGGGAAAGAATTTATGACTAAGTCCCCAAAAGCAATCTCAACAAAAGCAAACATTGACAAGTGGGACCTAACTAAAGAGCTTCTGCACAGCAAAAGAAACTATTAATAAAGTAAACAGACAACCTACAGAATGGGAGAAAATATTCAGAAACTATGCATCTGACAAAGGTCTAATATCTAGAATCAATATGGAACTTAAATAATTGAACAAGCAAAACCCAAATAACCCCATTTAAAAATGGACAAAAGACACGAACAGGCACTTTGCAGAAGAAGACATACAAGTGTCTTCAAGCCAACAAACATATGAAAAAACATGTGAAAAAATGTTTCACATCACTAATCATCAGAGAAATTCAAATCAAAACCGTAATGAGATAACATCTCACACCTGTCAGAAGGGCTATTCTTAAAAAGTCAAAAAACAACAGATGTTAAGAAGGCTGTGGAGAAAAGGAAACGCTTATACACTTATACACTGGTGGTGGGAATGTAAATTCAGCTACTGTGGAAAACAGTTTATAGATTTCTCAAATAACTTAAAACAGAACTACCATTAATCCAGCAATCCCATTACTAGGTGTATATGCAAAAGAAAACAAATCATCCTACTGAAAAGACATGCACTCATATGTTCATCACGGCACAGTTCACAATAGCAAAGACATGGAATCAACTTAGGTACCCATCAATAGTGGATTGGATAAAGGAAATGTTGGTATATATACAGCATGGAATACTACACAGGAATAAAAAAGAATAAAATCATGTCATTTCCAGCAACATGGATGCAGTTGGAGGCCATTATCCTAATTGAATTAATACAGGAACAGAAAACCAGATGCCATATGTACTCACTTATAAGTCAGAGCTAAACATTGGATACTCATGGTCATAAAGAGGACAACAATAGACCCTGGGGACTACTAGAAGGAGGAAGTGGGTGGGCGGGGAAAGGGTTGAAAAACTAACCATTGGGTACTATGCTCAGTACCTGGCTGATTAAATCATTCGTAACCCAAACCTTGGCATCACACAATATACCCAAGTAACAAGCCTGCACATGTACCTCTGAATCTAAAATAAAAGTAGAAGAAGAAAAAGACAATAGCCTCTGGAAGAGATGCTCTTTATTGGCAATGTTCTAATCTCCTGAGTAAACCTGGCTAAACAATCCATTTTATTAGGCGTATGCATAAGCACATACAAAACAACATATATATTTTGAGAACATAGATCTATCAAATGAAAGTTTATTTAATTTATAGTGATAGTAACCAACTGTTTGTATAAGCTATCCTGTTAAGGTGTAAAATACCAAACACTCACCCCATGATTGTAAAATTTCACATCTCTAGATTAGACAATGGAATCCTCTATATTACACAAAAAGGCTCATAAAACTTCATATAAAACCAAAGGCTTTTTGATGCTATTTATTTAAGTACTAAAAATAGCCAAAGTATTTGATTCAGGAACTATAAAGAAAATGCTTGAGATTATTTGTAATCCTACAACGGTTTGATATCCTTTATTTCCAAGGAGGACACCACTGACCCATTTTTGATAAAGAAAGAACTGAGTTATTTCTCTGGTAAGGGTGATGGATTATAATAATCTTTTGTAAAGTAAAGGTAAGTGGTATAATAAAATGATTTTTTTCTCTTTATGTGTAGAAGCCTGTATATGTTATGTTCTATAAATAATTTCCTAAAGCTTGAATATGAAAACAAAGCCATATCCTCCACCAGGTCTGGGTTATTTGGGAATAGGAGAAGTTAGATCATAGCGAGTGATACTCAAGTTTGGATATGATTAGGAACTTGTATCAGTGCCGGCAGTTTTAACCATTTGACTTCTTTTGTTATAAATGATCAATATAGAGCTTTCTGATTACATTGATGATTCAGATTGCTTCTAAATAACTGACAACTCACCGTGCAGTCTGGTCATTTGCACTGCTAGATTTAAGTGAGTTCTCTAAGGCTTTATTTCTAATATTTAAACACTCTTTTCTGGTGTTCAACTACCATAATTTTAACTGAATGCAAGGAAAAATATTTAAATATCGAATTGAGCCTGAAAATAAGGCATATAACTGAAACCCTACTCCAGTCAGAATGTTTTAAGAGTAAGAGAAAATTGGTAGTTGGGCTTTTCTTGTGGAAAGTCAGAATATTTTATTTTATTTCAATTTGCAAGTTATTTTCACTATTGTCTCACATCATAGCCCAGCTCCATCAATAATATATGTAGTTAGTCACCTCTCCATAGATACTCTCCAGCATGAACAGGAATATTGACTGAACTTTATAGCAACAAGCATTACTGCTATCAGTTTTCATATTTCAGTGGTTAAGTTGATCATCATTTAGGATAAGGATGATATTTTCTTTCAGCAGCTCTCCTATTTGAACTAATTAGCTTAAAAAATAAATAGGATAGGATTTTCTTCTCTGATACCAAAATACACTATCGGTGTATTAAATAAACATTAGAGCTTATTGCTGTTATTCATCCTCTTTGGTGGTATATAAAGGTGGTAGGGGTACTGGGGGAATCAAATTAAGATTCAGAGTCTGGTTGTGCCTGAAGAACTGTATTCCCCTCCTCTGTCATGCCCACTTACATGGGTTAATATGTAAAGGAGGAAGGGACTTTCAAAGAGGAAGTTTGTTTGTTTGTTTGTTTGTTTCAGGTCTTAGAGGTAGAAGAGGAATCATAAGGAGAATGAGGGATGGAAAG